ATTCGTTCCATATACTAACCCTATTATATTACTGAAATACCCGGTCGCCACAGGTGACACCTTGCGGGGCCAGCTTGCTTTATCTGGTGAGTTGCTAAAAATAGCCCAGTCGAGCACCCCGTGGATTAAAAAATTAAATATTACCTGCATTGCAAATTATTATCATTAAAACATGCTGATATGATTTAAATTTATAATTATTTTATGGAATAATAGGAAAATGCGTAAAATATAAAGCTCCGATTTAAGTCAGTTATTCATTTCAAATCTGCGGAGCTGTTATTGTTTTCCTTGGTTTTCCGTTCTCGAAAATGAGTGGGTTTTCACAGCTTCGACCAAAGGCAAGCCTTCGGGACAAAGCACAGAATTCGGTAAAACATAAAGCAGAAATAAGTGAACTGTTTCACTACTAATTGACCATTTCTATAGATTAAGGGCGCTATTATTTGTTATAACGTGTAAAATTTAAGACGTCGTTGACACGCACTGTACATAGTCTGTGCTGTACTGTACATGTAGCCTGTACCGTTACTACTGTAGGCATTGCAGTAAGTTGAGTGACTGCCTTACAACAGTATTGTACATAGTTGTTACAGCTGTGACATCCACGATGTTTCCAGTGCGGTAATACGATAGTGATAAAGTCATTTTTTGTCTTGGGAATGGCATCTTAGAGATGGATGATATAAAACTTTTATAAAAAGTAACAAAGTAAATGGAATAATTTATTACACTTAGCATTTCACTAAGTGTATAGTACAGATCTGCCAGTAATATGCTGTGGGCACTTTCCACAGGTAAGTACCCAGCAAATAATGCTAGAAATTGAGGCAAATGCCTGTATGCAATAAAGAAAAATATTTAATGTTTTTTATATAGGGCAGCAGTTCTGCCCTGGCAGCTGTTGCATTACAAGACCATATCATGAAAAACCTACAACTGTCAATGACGTTTGGGCCAAAGAGGATTCCCCCAGGAAAACCTCGACCAAAGAAGGAGGTTAAGGCTGTGGTGGACACTGGAAGAGGTACTAGTAAGTCAATTTCTCTCTCTCTCTCTCTCTCATTAAGTTTTTCAACTTCAGTCTGTGATATGAAAACCTTATGCCAAACTTTCTTAAATATATAGTTACCATGATGATAGTTCTGTCCTTAATGTTCAGTTATATTGAAGAAAGTTACAGCAAAATATGGACTTTTCCCTGCAGTGACAATTTATGAAATAGATTTTTTTTAAATTTCCATTTGTATGTTTGTATTTTCTTAAAAATATTAAGCAGTAAAGCCAGGCCCAAAGAAGAAGCAAGAAGACGAAGAGAAAGAATTTGTGCTAGATCGCAAACCCCCACCCCCTACACTAGGTGAGTTTGGTTGTTTCCAAAAAGGCACAGGCCAAAAAGAAGTTGGTTCTTTAAAAATCAATCCAATACATATTGAATAGGTTCGATCTGAACAAAGATTGAGATAGAAAATACCAACTAAGCTGTTTTTGCTTTGTGACTCAAGTATAATTTAATGTTCTATCCTGTAAGTCTCCAACAAATTTTATTCTTCTTCAAGTTTTGCAACTTATAATAAGTTCATTTTGTATGTTGGAATATGCCTTTATACGAGTAAGTACCCCTGTATTTGTAGATGTAAATTGTTTTTATGGCTTGCACTAAGAAAAAAAAAAAACATTCTGTCTAAGTTCTTGTCTTCAACAAAATCTAGGATGTTTGCATTTTTTCACATACATTTGTATAACAGTCCTGTTTTAATAAATATATTTTCTGCCATCATATTTAGCCCAAAAACTAGGCCTAGTTGATGCTCCAGAACAACTGCTGACAGAAACAGAGTGGAATGAAGTGAAACAAAAATCCAGTAAAAGAGATGACTTTAGGCAACCGTGTGTTATATGTAAAGAGGACCTGGGGTCTCAACAACAGGTAAATATTTACACTGTACTAGCTGCTCAAAATGGTCAATTTGGATAGGCACTCAAGACAATAAATTGTTGGTTTCATAAAATTTTACTAATTTAAAAGAGTTGTTTTTGCATGGAGCCCCACATGTATTTAAGTGCAGATTAATATGACAATATAAACAGAAACAAAATATAATGATTAAATCCAGTTGTCAATACACAAGATTGTTTATTAGTATAATCAGTTTGAAAAATAACTTTTCCAGGTTCTGTTGTCTTGTTCACATGTTTTTCACAGGGTAAGAATGCTCAAATACCACCTCATAAATGAGAAGTCTTTGATAGCCAGGATCAAACTTTAACTGTAAATACAAAAAAAAAAAAAAGAAATTAATTGTTTATGTTTATGTTGCTGTTAGCAGAAAGTACTGTCAGAGACATAAGTTTTAACAGTTTACTGGAGCATAGCTCAAATAATATTTATCTTTTGGATTAAATTGTAAAATTTGAAGTTAGGATATTGGATCACATTGCTTGGCAGCAGTACTAATTTAACAATAACTGAACTAAAGGTTTTTGATTAAAGACCCACATATCATGGCACACTTGCTCCATCCACAGGCATGTCTGCAGGCATTTGAGAGGTACACGGGGAGAAAGACTTGCCCCATGTGTCGCAGAGAACAATACCAAACCAGGGTGGTCCATGACGGTACTAGACATTACAAGGAAAAGTGTGCAACCACGTGAGTTTGAAAAGATTATAGTGACTTTTACGGGTAACAGCAGTATCATTATGTAGGTGTGACTTGAAGGAAATCACTGCATAACTATTATGGTCTGAAATGTTTTACATAACTTTGGCAGTTTTAATGAAGATGAAGTATTTTTAGACCTGGCAAAGAAAATTTTAAAAAAATTCATACAAAGTACAGATCTGTTGCTGATTTTATCATTACAATAACATTGAAACCTGAAGACAAGAAGTAGTGATTCATTTTGCATAGAACATGTGAAGTGTGTACAGTTGCAAAACTGGCAACCTTGTTAATAAATAAAACCTTAAAATACTGGATACAACCCCAATAAGAATTTAGACTGGAAAAGGCATTTTATCTGTCTAGTTCGATATATCATTTAAAAAAATATTATTTAATTATCTAATTAGTATAAATATAATTGTTTTTGAGTATTTTGAATAAAATGTGAGATGATCTTCATCTCAGTTTATGTAAAAATTGTGTATTTGTGTCACTTTTAGCATACAGGCAGCATGGCGTGGCTATGTTGTTAGAAAGTGGTATCTGAACCTCAGGGAAACAGTTCCACCAAATGATCCTAATTTACGGAGGAAGTTCTACGAGGACAAGGTAAGAAAATACATGAGTGCTTATGCATCTGGACAGTGGTGTGTGGAAATCATCACCTGGTCAGAAATATATTGATTGATTGATTGATTGGGGGAGAAATCTTGTATTTAGTTTGAATTACAAAAATGCTTTGGAGTGTATTTGATTTAAAAGGACTTATCCAGTGGCAGGTCCAGCAAGGGTGTTGGTGGTGCACCCTTAATTCTACGTTTTTCCCTTCTCCAACAAGTATATAAAGCGAACAAGACAAAACCAAGCAATGCATCTATCTCTGTCCCCTTCAGATTAAAACAAAATTTTCAATGTATTTTATATTTGCTAGACAATGAGTGACAATTAAAATTATCTATGACCGCCCTCCTCCCCATTAACCCACCCACTCCACCCAATTCACAAGCAAAAGCTTGGATCCACCACGTTTATTTTAATATATGTTTGAATTATAAATTCCTGTAAACTTATACATACATGTACATGAACCAGTTTAATTTGCAGTTACACAACATAACAGACAGGATAGTGAGATCTTGCGACTTTGACATCAACAACTTTTTTGCGGAGTTGGACAGGAACTTGGAGGCCAGTCGCGAGGTGTTTCAGAACTTTGAGACTGCTGTGAGGCCAATAGATGATGAGGAATGGGATAGGATACTACAGAGAGTAGGAATCGTTTTCTTATTACAATTTTCATGCTAATATTTTATACAATATATTAAACATTGAAATTAAAACTTTCAGTTTTCATGCTAATGTTTTATAGTTTGTTAATGACTAAATGTTTGGGACATAGAAACTGTAAGTAAACACATGGCTGGACCAGATTTTTTTTTCAATTATTGTTTTGTATATTTGTTTGTTTGTTTGCTTGTCCCACATGAAAATATTACTAGATAGATATAGTTTGAGATTAAATGTTAGATATTCAAAATTAAGGGTACCATAAGCTTTGTTTATCATACTAGTATGCTACTTCATTTCTTCAGGCAGTAGAGCGTGGTAATAAGGAATGTCCTATATGCCTCACATCATTATGGGAATCGGATATGAAATCACCAAGGTATGAGTCAGACTCTTTACAAGCTAAGGCAAAAGAGACTGTAGCAAAAATTGCCAAAAAGCAATCCCATCTCACCAAAGGTCCAGTAAACCAAAGGTCAATGTCAGGTGGAAGTCCAGGAAAAGAGTCAAGGTCATATATGGGTGTTCATAAAGACACATTATTACAGAAGTCTGCCTCTGCTCCGCAGCCAGGGAGAGGAAAATTTTCCAAGAAAACCACGTCTCATGTTAGTGGTACTACAGATAAAAGCATGACTGGGGACATGACATCATCCAACATGCAGAAATCTAAGGAAAACAGCATAGCCACTAGTAAATCAGAACAATCTACCACTAAGAGAAAACAGGTCAAAGAGACAGTTTTACTGTCCTGTTCGCATGTATTCCATAAGAACTGTGTAGAGGCATTTGAAGAACTGGCTGTGGGAGAGAAGAGACACTCCTGTCCAGTGTGTAGGGCATCGTATCAGAAGAAAATTTTAACATCTGAACACTTTTGAGTCTGAAGATGCATTTGTACAGAAAAATATTTAGAGATGTGGTGCTAATTTTTAAATAACGGAAGTCTTAATTTTTAAATTGTTACCCCCTTGAAAACAATCCAAGCCCTCTTATTAGTTAAAAGTGTTTGTATACCTTTAATTTTATGCAGTCAAATATCATCACCCTAGGGTATAAAGTCTGGCCAAAACGTATTCTCATACAACAGCCCAAAAAAAAAGGTAAAATGTTTTAATTAATCATACTTTGCCCAATTTAACATGCTTTTGATTATGATTTGGATTCAGTCAGAATTTTCCAGTACTTTGACCTGAAGACATTTATCCACGTTAAATGAAAATGAAGGTAATATAACTTGCTGGGGTATTTTACTTACTTGGCAAACATCTTAATTATTCAAAAACGTAAAATGTGAGCTACAAATTTATCATAAGTTTGTCTTTTAATGAAGAAAATCAGCATATAATCAAGGCAAACACAATAAATGTTATTCAAGTTTGAATAAACAAATATAAAAATTAATATTAAATACGCTTTGAAGATATTTTACATTTGTGTCTTATATCAGCTTTTTCTTGACAAGTTCTCATTCTTCCATGTCAAGTAGAAGTATAATTCTTAAAGCTGTCCTAAAAGCTTTAAATGCAGTAGCCTAGCTTGTGTTTGAATAAATTTTCCCAGACTGCCAGATCTTGCACAGATTAGAAAAACCATAAAAAATATTGGCACAGCACATCTGTATTTGCTGTCAAATTGTTTTAAAAATATACTAAGAAGCTTCTGTAGCAGAGAAGTACTGCTGTTCTATCCTGGCACAGAAGTGCACTAAATTGTCAAAGTTTTTTACAATCTCTGCTAATTTATTGACTGGCATAGGTGTTGTGAGGATTGTGAACAGGTGTCCAAAAACCAGGGCATCCAGCTCTGTTGGTCTGAAAGTAAAATGGTATTTTCAGAATTAGGGTGAAAAAATAAACATCAACTTACACAGATTTTTTTATTTCTTTATTATTTTTTTGAATTCACATTCTCAATGCCTGTATGCACCCAATAGATCTGATGAATATGGAGGCTACTTCAAGCTTTTTTAGTGGTGAACTTATTTGCAGTTGTGGTCAAAATTAACTGCTGTCACAAAAAATCAAAATGAAAACTAAAATATCACAGAAAAATAAAATTGTACAAAAATAAATACTTTTGCAGATCAAACTGTATTCATGACATACCTAATAGGCTAATACTGCAAATTAGGTTTTTCAATCCTTTTGTGTAATGATGATTACAAGATATAGTGTAATAAGTTATTTCTAAAGAAATTTGACATCTTTTTCCTATGCAGTATGGAGCATCTATATGTAGTTTTTGTGTTTAAAAGGCCATTCGAAACAAACATTTAGGTCCTACCTGTTCCCAAAGAAAAAGTTGTTTTTATCTAGTCTTTCCGAAAGGGCTTGGCAACATGTCTGCACCTCCTCACAAACCTGAAAATAAATTGCACAGAAACAGCTGAGTCTGGTTTCCAGTCAAGGTCATCTTAGCCTGGAGTTGGTTTCACAGAAAGTCTGAAGTTGGCTTTGGGGCTACAATTTCAGCCTACTAAGACTAAGCAATAGCTGACTTAGTTGTATTTTTAAAAGGGATCCAAAATGTCATTCTTCATTCCTCTGTGTAGCAGCTTTGGTCCCTGGAAAAATGTGACTGTCTTCCTTTTACTTTCAGTGGTGACAGTAGCCCACTTATGTCGAGTAGTGTCAGCCTGAGTAAGGTTCACCCACCATAAAGCAGTGCAAATATTGTTGACATATCATGATAATATATACACCTTTTCATTAAATACAGTCTAAAACCAAATTTTTCAAAAATTTTTGAATTGTACCAAATTTTCCTACAACTGTTTTTGTACTGTAGATGATATGCACAGTAATTAAGAAAAAAATACATTTCTGCCCCAATTTACCATAATCCTTATCACATTCAAATTTGCTCAAGTTCTTCCCTTGTTATCTCACCTCACTCAGTGTTTTCTGAGACCATCCTAAGGCTTTGAGTCTACTGGTTTCTTCATACCATTTCTTCAGAGGTACCAGCTTATTAAGGGGCCAAGGGTAGGGGGAACCATACCTAGGTTTTGTGACCTTAAATATTAAAGCATATGGTTAACCGAGTCTGAACAGTGTTACTAAGTTAACTAAGGATGCTAACCCTTCAATAAATGTGACTTTTCATAAATTATGATTTTTTTCTACAATTAAATCCTGTTGATTGCATGTGCTTGTAGCATTATATAGGGCCTATATACCAAATGTAAAATGATGGAAATGATCTTTTTTGCAATCAAATCCCACTGTTACATGTCAGGCTTTTAGTATGTATTTAGGGCCTTTGTTAGTGCTGTAGACAAACAACATTATGCAGTGGCTTGTCTTGTACAAATTTGATCACATGAGGCTAAAACTTGCAGTTGGATGGAATTTTTGAGTGAAAGTGGAGCAAAATTAATTTATGTTCATTACCTCTCAGATCACTTATGATAACATGCTATTAAAATTTTAATTAACCAGTCTTTGAATGCATTATGTTAAATTTTTGCTTTTCATAAATATAAAAATTTTAACAGAAAAACTGATAGAAGAAGCGCCTGGGAAATAGTGAATGTACGTTATCTTAAACAAAAATGGAGGACTTTCACAATTTTGATCTCACCAAGATAAGTACTGTTACTAAATATTACTTACAGTTTGTAGCACTGTGGCATCACACCAGGATATATAGTGCTAAAATAAAGATCACATCATGTAAATTCATTAAAGATGTTCTCAACCTAAGTGCAAGGATTGATTTTGTATCTGGATCACATTCTGTAGCTCATTGATACAAGTGCTATATTATAGTGTAACCAAGGCTTCCCCAAGAGAGCTGTCCAACTTCCACTTGGATGGCCATTACTCCCAAAAGACAGCCCATATTTCTAAAAACAGCTGGATGGCTTAAAAAATTGGGTTGATTGGCTGGGCTTGCATGGGCTGTACTGCCTTTAAATTGATCACCAGATGAGCTTCATATTTTGGACCTCCTGTGCCCCGTATCATGGGGAAACCCCTTAGTGTAACAAAACCAACAAAACCCAGTTCTTCCACACATAACAAAGAGTAAATGCAAGACTTTCAGAAATATTACAACAATAAAGATTTAGCTTGACATGAGTGGGGTTCTGTTGTATACACAATTCAGTGAACTTATTAATAATAAATATGTATTATTATTATTATTATCTCATTTTTCCAAACAATATGAATTGAATCACAACCCACCTCAGCATTAACCAGTATGTTATCAACCAAAGCCATATAGGCTCTCATCTCAGCTCTCTCAGTGTCATCCAGGTTGGCACTGAGATGGAACCCCTGCAAAATACAAGATTTTCGATAGTGGACATACTGACTCTGTACTCTGACTTTGACAAATGTTGGATCTTGGGTCATAGTTGGAGGAATTCTTTTTCAGTACTCATTCAATGCATATGAAGACTACTGTAAATCAAAGTCCCAACAAAAAATCCATAGTATCCTTATACTATTTTTTTCTTTTTACTTAGATGTTCATTATACTTTGGATAATATCATTCAAACCATACTGTGAATAATCACTTATTTAAAAAAAAGAATATACTATAATCTACTAGTACTCAAACAAATGCAGTGAAAACAGAAACTAGATGTAAAGGGATTCTGTAACCCAGTAAAAGAGAAATACCAGAGTGTACACCCAAAAAGTTGCAACTACTTATAAACAATGATTACTAGTACAGGAATATGTTCATGTGAACACCAGCAAAGAGAGCTAAAATCAAAAAAGACAAACCCTACAGCTGCATGCTTACATGTACCTTAGTGTTGACAAAACCAATGATGGGTTCAAATTCTGAGATGAGAAAAGGTCCTATCTGGATGAAGGGCACCTTGCCTTAGTAATAATAATAATAACAGATTGAAAATAAGTTAGTACAGAATGATAATAACCTTGTTATGATTATCTGCATTTTCTTTAATAAAAACCCTCTGGTGAAATCATTTTGGTACAATAAATCATCTTATGATATCCTACTCTAATCAATTTAGTATGCAACTTTAACATATTTTAAGTTTTAGTCATAAATATTAAATTAATTACATACAAAACATGGCTTTACCAAAACTGGCTGGTTCTATTCTATACTAATGCAATTGTAAAATGTGGGTTATACAGAAGGGAAAATAAACACTTTTACCTGATGGGGACATATGTTCTGCATTGTTTCTTAAAACCACTGAATACTTGAGTCCACACATCTCTAAAAATGCTTTCACACTCAGGCAGCTGGCGCTGTCAGGGAGCAGAATTTGGCCAGCTGAAGTAAAGGATTAGAAACAATATTGGGCTCTAATTAAATATTCTGAAATCTACAATAACAAAGCATCATCATCATCATCATAATAATAATAATACATACATAAATACATACAATCATACTCAGTATATACTAGTAAATAAGACGGAACTAATTTAATAAAAAGAAACACTGAAACAGATCAAAAGGATACAATCAGTTACTAACTGTTAGTTTAGACAGTTTATTTTTAGTAATAAACCTAGCTAATGCTGCCATCACAACATATATAATAAAAAACAATAACTTNGGCCAGCTTGCACTGTTCCGACGTCATTCCGCGGGGGCTGAAAAATCGGAAAGATTTGTTTTTGTGCTGTGTCATTCACTGTTAAGGCGTTGTCGTCGCCTCATTTGTATGAAGAAAATAGAACCATTTTTTATTTACATAGTAATAACCAGCGTAATATATTCTAAAAGTAACTAAATTACATCAAATGTATTCGATAGGTAAAGCGCCATGGCTGACAGTAGAGACGTCAACATTTGCCGAGGACTGGAAAAAAGTATTGCAAAACCCGGTCCATGCTGACGTCACATTTCTGGTGGAGGGACAGCAGCATTTAGACGCTCATCGGGTGATTCTGTGTGGGGCGTCAAAGATGTTCAGGCAAATATTCTCGAGAAAACTGAAAGAAGAGGTGAGTTATTTTGAGTTAAATTGCACTCATTATTGAACATACGGACAACGATTTTAGCCAAGTCGCAATGTGATAGCATTGTTATGTACCGTGTTTTTTTATGTTTGTTTTTATGTATCGGTCGGGAAATATGAAGAAATTGAAGAAAATGATACTGAAAAAATAAACCATATTAAATCTTAAGTTTGTATATCTTTTGTTTTTTCGCAGAATAACCAGCTGACAAAGTTTTCCCCGGGGAGCACGTTTACGTGGGAAGACATTGCGTCTGGGAAAGTGGAAGGTCTGGCAGGCATATGGCAGGAAAAACAGGAGGGGAATAAGGACATTATGAAAACTGTTATAGAACTAAGTGCAGACATCAAAGGGGCTGCGTTCGTACAAGTGCTGGAATTTTTGTATACAGGTTTGTCTGGTTCGTGATCGATTATATTAATGTCAGATTTAATGAGTTAAGTAGTTGTCTGTGTTAAGTGTGTCAATGTTTTTAACAGAGGACTTGATAATTTGACTATGCTTTGACTAAATTCAATGTTATTTTGTTTTTAAATGTATAAATTCGTAAAGAAGTAAAGGATACTATTTTATATGTACCCTGTAAACTTCAGAGTTGTAGAGATATCATTCTTATTTCTCAAGGTGTGCCAGACCTTAAAGACGATATCTCGGACCAAGAACTGGATGAAATCACAAGGGTTGCTAAAATATTCCAACTCCCTCACCTGGAGACGATATGTAGAAATAAGAAGAACGAGGAAGAGTTTTTGAACCCGAGTATAGGGACATTCTTAAATGACCTGACCGGACAGAGCTTGAAAGAGCTGTTCCTCAATCAGCCTGAGTGGGCCGACATTGTGTTCATAGTAGAAGGTACAATTTGTATATTAATATTTTAAAAAACTATTAAACCTTACCCAGAGTCTTTGAGACGCTTGAATAATTGTGTCTGCTTCTCGAGCAGACGATCAAACCGAGTTCAAAGCAGACGACTTCTCCCGCCTTATCGTCAGTGAAAATCTGAAAATGAAGTTGGACTTTTTCCCAAATAAAGCAGAATTGAGATATAGAGAATTTCGATGGAATCGTTGCAGTTTTAATATAAACCGGTAAAGCTATCAACAAAATGTTAAGAAAATGAAAGTGCACCAATTGACGCTCGTTGAAATGCACTCGCTGCCTAATGCCCGAAGTCAGTCATACCTTGTTATCTAGCTTCATTGAGCCTTTTTGTGATTTTCAATTTGTTTTTTCCCAACAGGTCAAAAAGTGTATGCCCATCGTGTTGTCTTGTCGGCTCGCTGTGACGTGTTATCTGCCATGTTCAGCGGCCATTTTAGTGAGGGTTCTTCCTGTATGACAGAGGTAAATTTCGTTGTATTTTATTGTTATTTTTACCTTTTCATAATTCTATCGTACAGGCTTAGCCAGGAATGCATTATCAGATATTGTATTAATGTAGCCACTGCGTTTGATTTTTTTTCATACAGACATAAAATAGATTTTCTGTTCTTGTTCATTATTGGAAAACATATTATCTCCGACGTAGAATAGCCAGACGCGACATGATCCGTGCTATCAGTCATTTTACTTCTTATGTTCCGATGTGTCAGCCATTACGGTAAATTTTTACACTAAAACGGGCTAATAACGCACGTACATTAACTCTACTTTCCTACAGGTACCGCTATCTGACGTGACATCGGAATGTTTCCTTGCTTTCTTGGAATACCTTTACACAGACCACGCCCCCATAGAGGATGGAGATTCTGTCGGTATCATGGTCCTCGCGGACGAATACTGCCAGCGTCGGTTGGTCAACCTGTGCGAGTTATACATAACAAAGGAAGTAGACAGGTCCTGCAGAGACAACATAGAAAAATCAGACATTGACGTCATAGGGTTACTGCTGACGTCACAGGTAGTGGACAGCTTATGTACATGTGCATTCTCAGCTTTGATTACAGTGGCGAATAATATCTTAAAACACATTGTATTTTAACGAATACAGTTTGGATAAACCCCGCCTTTCTTGGTTTATTGATCTCTAATTTATGTTTTACAGATTAATGTCGATGATATTTGTAGTCATGTGTAGCTTTTAAAAACGTTTATTTATTTTTATATTCTCAGATCCACAATGCAGAGCAGCTTGCTAATTGGTGCCTTCACTTTATCTCCACGAACTATCAGTGTTTTAAAAATAGACCAGAGTTCCCTCTTCTTCAAGAGAAAAACTTGGAATATGTGGAAGAGAACCAATGGCCCCCAGTAGAGTACCTAAACGAGCTTCGGGAGTATGAGAAACTTACGGCCAAAAGCGAAGAAAAATGTTCTATCATGTAATGATAAAACTGGATTTTTATATTTATTTGCACATTTAGAAAGTGGGCGGGCAGATTTTCCTAAACGTCTCAGTTGTGCCGAAACTGTAATATCTGTGACTTCAAAATGTCAATAGCACGTGCTGATTTTTACTGGGCACAACGGAAACGGGACTAGTGAGTTTCTCACGTGGTATATTAACGCTTTGGTTGGCCGACTCCCACCACGTGACACTATGGGTGCATTCACAGAGATTTAGATCGATCCAGAGATTTAGATTTAGATCGACCTAACTCCCTGGGGGTTCACGCTAAATTGCAGTCAGCCGAGCGCGCACCATAGTTAATTACCCCCTTACAGCTTTTAGTAGGCGGGACAGACGCTTAAGCCGGCTAAGCTGACAGTAATCTAGTGAGACTCCCCACAGGGATAGATCGATCTAAAATCTATGGAAATGGGGTCAATTTGACCATTTCCCAACCAACACATTGTTGCAGATACGTTTAGTCCTCGTCTTTGTCTTGCAAACATTCACTTGGCTCAACATACATATGAGTATTTATTGTATATGTTTAACTTAATGATTGTATTCTTAATAAAAGCCATAACCATTAATGGCTGTTGATATTATCACACGGTTCTTCATATATTTGGCCCATAATTAAAGTCAAATGGCTGTGATTTGTTTGGCATTCAGTAACAGCGTGGAAAAATACTGCCTGTGTTTTATTGAATATCGAGGTATTACATGACTGTTTTCTCTTTATATTTTACATTGAACACAGAGGAACATTTTATTACTTTTTTTTTTGTGATTTAGCAAATTCTTGTTTGCAAAAGTTAGCTTTTTAAAATGAAGTAAGCAAGCAACAACACTGGATGGAAAAAATTAACAAATGTACATATCATTTTTAGAACAATGTAGTATCTAAGTGTTTATTCTACTTCTTGGTAAGGCATAATCCCAGTATATTCAATTTCACTATAATAAATGAACAAAGTACAGTCACTCATTTTAATGATTATTTATTCACAAACATGATAAAATTTGATAGAAATATTGCATAGACAGTAATCATTTTAAGAAGCCTCAAAACAGTGAATATGATAATATCTGGTCAGAGGTTAAACTGAACCTCAACTTCAAATCAAAAACTTTGTCCCTTGCAACAGAGCCACTGTTAGAACTAGTAATACAGAATCTGCCATCCTCAATTACTCTTTGATATGAGAAAAAAGGAATGCCAAAAAAATCGCCTCCCTGTGTCTGTGCTGGTCTCTGGGATAAATTATATTATTACATTATATACTTTTTATTTGACCAAAAACAGACCCTCTAAAAGCTGGCATAAATGGAGATTCAGTGTGAAGCTACAGATAATCCGCTGAGAAAAAACTGAAAGAACAGAGAATGAGTGATCCACCACATAACAGCCAACAAATCTGATTAATCACAGTAAGAGGTACATACAGCTCTGAATAAACTGATACATATTACTTTTTTATTAAGCTAAACACTTTTTTTATTTGTTTTTGGATGGAGGTTAATGTTATACTCTAAGCCATATCGTGCCCATAAAATAATTGGACAAAACTGGCCCACACTGCTCAATAACTGTCTCTGTATATTTGAATAGTTTAAAACAAAAACTTGAAACAAACAGATCTGTTCACACCGTTTTATCATTGAAATATACAATAAACAAAGTAATTAGTTTCTTTTTCATAAACTTTGGAAAAACAGTATATCAGCTGGAAGCACAACTTGATAAACAAACATGGTAATGTCAATAAATATCATATCTTTTAACTTATTGATTGATTGATTTATAAATTCATTTAGTAATGGGAATTCAATCAAAGGCCTAAATATCTACCTACTTGAAGGTTACTGACTGGATAATACATTGAGTGGTATGACATAGAAATTAACTTAAGGGAAATTTATGTCTGTCAGTATATAATGTAATAAATGACTGCCTTTACTTTTAGCAAAGTAATAAACTGATTCCAAGTACATCTGATATATAATTTGAAAATGTCAGCAAAATAAAAAAATCTAAAATAAGTGGTTTTTAAATGGGACTTGACATATAATCATGAATTAATAATATCATCATATTTAACATATTTTCAATAGGATATCATAAAGCTATTATATATATATATATATATTACTGCACCACACTTTTATCATAAAATTATATTGGTATTTTTATACAAATAAATATGAAGAATAACCTTCAATTCCTGTACTACAGGCATAGTGTGTGAGTATATGTAACTCAGCTGCAAGTCTTAACAGTGAATCTGTAAGTTCTGACCTATCAAACCTACATGTATCTTCACTCTTATACATATTCAATTTGATTCAAAAGAGTGACCAACATTTTTTTCAAAGACAAGCCATCTTAATTCAGAGAGTCAGAGACATACTTTATTTGCCTCTTTATGGCACTGCCTCTAGTGAGGTAAAAGTCTGACTAGGAAGCTAGGACCTGAAAACTTGCTTCAACAGCAAGGTTTCATTAGTATGAATATCAGTCTAAAATACACTGCCATAACACAACGTATGTCATGATCTCTTGGATAGTTGCACTCCTCAATCCATCCTTAACCATAAGATTTTACCCCTCGTGGGGCCACATCTCATGCCTTAGGATTAAAAAGTTGCCTTTTCTAAGGGTTGGTAAAGAAACTGGGTAACTTTCAATTACAGAATTATATCCTTTTCCTATTTTCTTTACATTCACCACCAAAAAAACTAAGGACTGCAGTCAGAAACAAGCGAA